TTCTCTTGAAATGAGTTATGAAGCAAAAATCGAGGAACTAGAACATGAGAAGGAATCTTTATTAAATCAAATAACATCGATAACACAAACCTTAAATGAAGCTGAGCAACAGCTAATCAAAGAGAGACAACTCAGAGCTGAACTAACAACAATGTTTGAAGATCAAGACAAGGACAAAGATCAAGTAATTTGTAATCTAGAAAAAGAAATAAAGAACCTACAACAAACTATTAAGAACCCAACAAAATATAATGTTTCTGGAAATCATCAAGCAAAAAACACTTTAACATTCAAAAACTCCGAATCTCAAACCCACAGCTCTGAGCTCCCAACACAAAACAGCTCATTGTCCCTGCTACTTGAGCTAGCGAAGCTGAAGACCTGGCAAGAAGAAACAGAAAACACTTTAACAGCAATTAAAAGTAAAATATTTCAGCAAGAGAATGCTAAGAATACAAACTTCCCCAGTGATACACAACCCACACCGTCTTGTGAAAGCCCGAAAACCGATGCAAACGGAAGAATAAGGAAACAGCTAAGGGTAATGAATAGGAATATTTTTAGTGTGTCACTCCAGATGAAAAAAGTAAAGAAAATGACATAAACATAAACAATACAAAATCGAAATTAAATACTCTCCAGAACAGTTTAAAGTCTACTCCTTGCCCAAGTCCACTCAATGTGCACAACAAGAATCTCCCATCATTGATAAACTTCCTGCTAACAGACAGACATTTAAAGTACAAAAAGGACCTCCCTGTACCGCTAAAAAACTACAACCAAATGAATCACTTGAAGACTTTTTAAACCAACACATGGTGTACATAAATGGGATCTCACACCATAAGCTACCACAATGTAAACAACATAACCAATCAATACTGAAAGACTCAAATCAGACCCTAAACCATTTTTAGTTAGGTGTGAAGAAACAAACAGACGACAAAACATAGAATCAACTTCCCCCCTGAATGACAACAACCAAAACACAAACCCCAAAGCACAAAGAAGAGATAATCAGGGACATTTAGTTATTACACAAAAATAAACAACCTCCCTCACAATTTTTCACCAAAATGTTCAAGGTCTTAGGAAAAAGATTGAAAGAATAAATCATCTAATGAGTGAACTCAAACCCACTATCTTGGTGATTACTGAACATGGACTCAGCTCAGATATGTTATTACTCACTAAGATTAGTGGGTACAACCTAGTCACATATTCCTGCAGGGAAGAGCATAGAATGGGAGGAGTTGCAATCTATATCCAGGAAACTGCTGCTATCAAGGCAGAAGAAAAAGAAATCTCCAACCAAAGTTTAGAGTTAGTTTTTGAAGCAGCATTAGTGAAAATAAGGATAAAGAACAAAAACTGCTACTTACTTGGTATGTATAGACCACCAGGGGGACAAGCTAGGTTAGCCATTGACATCCTATCAGAAGTTCTGGAGTCACTTCAAGCTGACACCAAGACCGTTGTATTAATGGGCGATATCAATATAGACAGGCTAACTGAAAATGCCAGTAGTAACTATCTTGAAGAGGAACTGTCAACTTTTGGAGTTAGAAGACTACCACTCCCAGCGACAAGAATCACTAACCATTCAAGAACCTCTATAGACTGTATCTGTACGAACACACATGATAATGCTATAGATTTTGCTATAATTAACGCTGGAATAGCAGATCACACAGGCCAAACATGTACCCTCAAATACAGAGTGAAGTTACTGCTAAAACGGATATGTCACAAAAAAGAATTTTTTCAAGAAAAAACCTGGATAGCATGAAAGACGAACTCTCCAAAGAAAACTGGATAAAGGTGCACAATGCCCCTGATGCTGAAGAGGCATACTCTGCATTCCAAAGGACTGTAAGGCTCATACTGGACCATGCCTGCCCTATCAAAAAAATAAGAGCTAAGCAGAAAGGACAGAAAATTAAGGTTCAGTATGATGAAGAAGTCAAAATACTAAAGAAGATTTTCTAGATGCCTTACACCGATACGAGCTTACCGGAAATGTAAATGATAAAACAACAATGTCGGAAAAAAAGAAAACATATGATTTAAAGCTCAGGTCCCTCAAGCGACAAGCCACTGCAGAATACATCACAAGTGCTGATAATAAATCCAAAGCTGTCTGGGAGATCATCAACAAAGAAAACAATGTAAACAGAAGGAAGAACCAAATCTGCAGCTGGAAATAGAGGGAAAAATATTAGATAACCCTACTGACATTGCTGAACACCTAAACCAATATTTTGCAGAAATAGCAGACTCCACTTTAGAGAAAAACAGAAGCCAATTCAAAAAAAAAAAAATACACATCCACTATTTCTACCACAAAACAATGTCCAGCCACTAATTTTAACTCCTACAACCATTAAAGAAGTCTTAGCAACAATAGCCTCACTAAAATCAAAGCTGTCATGTGGAGTAGATGAAGTGCCATCAAAGTTGTAAAACACTGTGCCGAACAACTGGCAGCCCCACTTGTCAGCATAATAAACAAATCATTTAGCCTTGGACAATTTCCCTCCGCCCTAAAAATAGCAAAAATATACCCAAAGCACAAAAAAGGCTCACGCACTAAACAAGAAAACTACCACCCTATCTCATTAATATCAACCTTTTCAAAAGTAATAGAAAAGGTCGCTCTGTCAAGAATGCTGAGTCACTTGGAAAGCAATGATCTAATCACTAAAAACCAACATGGTTTTCTCAAAGGGAGGTCCACCACCACAGGTCTAACTAGTTTAATTGAACAAATCATTGACCATCTAGAAGCACGCAGATATGTATCAACTGTCTTACTTGACTACAGCAAAGCTTTTGACTGCCTGGGCCATAATCTCATCCTAAGCAAACTCACAGCCCTAGGAATAGAGGGAATGGCCAAAGACTGGGTGGCAAGCTATTTGAAAAGACGTACACAAATTGTCGAAATCCAGCAAAACACAAATGGGAGAAAATCTGTACATAGGTCCACACAACTTTCGATTAACAGGGGAGTGCCCCAGGGCTCAGTCATGGGCCCATTTTTGTTCATCCTTTTCACCAATGATTTTCCAGATTTTATTAGGAATGACAATTGTGAAACAATAATGTACGCTGATGACACAACTCTTCTATTTATGCATGACTTACCACAAGAATTACACTCCAACATCTTATCCTCAACAGACAAAGCACTGCAGTACTGCCTTCAAAATGACCTGGCCATTAATCCATCAAAAACAACCCAGTTAAACTTCAGCCGAAAACATGAACAAATCCAAGAAATTCCTGAAATAACCGTTGAAAAAAACTCAAAACTGCTGGGCCTGACAATTGATGAAGACCTCTCCCGGAACGACCACATACACAACCTGACCAAAAAACTTGCATCTGGTGTCCATGTAATAAAGAGGATGAAATGGATAGGAGGTCTGGAAACAGCTAAGACAGCATACTATGCTGTAATAAAATCGCATATAAGGTATTGCTTAATATCTTGGGGAGGAATATCAGAAGCAAACCTCAACAAAGTGTTGGTACTCCAGAAAAAAGCTGTCAGGGCACTCTCCGGCCTTGAGCGTTTAGACAGCTGCAGGGAAGCATTTAAATCCCTTAAGCTCCTAACAGTGACAGCACTCTACATCCATGGAGTTGTCCTGTACACAAAAAAACTTAACCTTCCCAGAAATGAGAATTTTCACTCCTACCACACCAGAAAAGCAGCCGACTACAACCTTCCGATCCACCACACTACACAATACAGCAGAAAACCCTCTTATATTGGCCGAAAAATCATCAACTCTCTTCCAAACAACCTCAAGAACGCAACAGGAAACCAATTCAAACAGCAACTCTGGGACTGGCTTGTGGACCGACCGGTGTACTCCCTTAAGGAATTTTTTGACCAATTATGAACTTTCAACACAAAAGAAAATGTAAACTGTTAAAACAATCTAATGTTAAACATTCTGAATCTTTCTGACGCCATTGTATTTCTTAAAGAAATCACAAATAAAGAAAATTGTCTATTGTCTATTGTCTATTGTCCGTGCTGAGGAAAATGTCATCTTTAGGAGTAAGGAGGGAGGGTTTAAGTTTAAGATGTCTGTTGCGGATTTGCGTAAGTGATCTGTGCAAAAATCAAGAACAAGAAGAAACGCCAGTGGGTTCGGGAGTGGATAGGGAGACAAGAGGGTGCTTCATCAATACTAATGAAAGAATTAGCAAATGAAGGCCCCCAATTATATTTTAAAATAATGAGGATACCCGTTCCAAAATTTGATGAGTTGTTGGATATGGTATCACCACTGATATATAAAAGATACATTTTTGAGGAAGGCAGAAATATCCATTATTTAGTCATACCTGCAGAAAAAAACTGGAAATAGCTTAAAGATACATGGCAAGTGGGGACTGCGTCGATTTCAAGGTCGGCTACTAGCGACTACTCGCCCAAAAAGTTGAACATGTCCGACTTTCCTAGTGAGTCTAGCCACTTCTCTAAACACGCCATGTGTCCTTAATTACTCGGCATGGGGCCTTAATTGGTGACTCATGGGTGGTCGGTGTAGTACCTATAATCTTCCCATGAGATTATGGACCTCCTTATGCTAACCAACCATTTTGGTCATCACTATTGAACATTCATTTCACTTCCTTTGTACATATTTGATTTTTTTTTTTTTATCGTGGTTGATCCGCAGCGGGTTAATCCACTCGTAGATAATTGAGAGTCCTAAAACCTATAGATAATGCGGTAAATTATGTGGTATCAATTTACGTTTGTAAAGTAACTTTTGAATCTACATTTTTACTGTATAATAAATTGGTGGGCAAAACCATAGTTTCGGCTGGTAGAGTGAAACTGCTTTACTAAATTATTTATTTGTCTACTACTTGTAATACTGTACTTTTGTTACGTAAATAACATTATGTATCATAATGGTATAAGTAAACATACCTGTATATCATATTGCATGTCCAGATTATTGATAATAAATGGGTTCCGAAGCATGGCATACTGAAATAGCCTTTTCCAATGGAAATCCCTTTTGAATGGAATGATATTAAACAATCACACATTGGCCATTCTTCAACAGGTTTCTGCAATCAACAAATGTTTATTTTAATTGAGTCTATAGTTCTTGACTGATTCCTAAACAAAAGAGATAAAGTTCATAAAATTCATGAAAATAAACATCAAATTTAGAATTCTTCAACAAAGCCGTAATTTCAAACATAACGTTAACTGTTTAACGGGTAATAACCAATTTAGGATATACCTTACAGGTTTGGAATAAATACAGCAAAGTTAAAGTTACATAAGTAGTATAAACTTATTTTTTCACAAAATTATTTCATTACAGAACTAATGGGTTTTTTTAAAGAGGTTTTGAAGCAAGGTTTTTTAGAGATCGGTGGCCTCTTTAACCTTGCATTTGCCATCCACATGGGCCACAGTGGTCTGTGCGTGGATCCGGCAAAGCAAGGGGTTCGACTTGGTACAGTACAAGTGTGAACTAAGGGTACTGAACGGTGAATGGGGTACAAGTAGTGGCAGGTACCGGGATCCGAACTCACGAAATCGCTGCCTTGGGTCCGAAGTCCATAGTGCTACCGACTGAGCCACTGACTCTTACTCACTATAAATATAGTAGGCCTAAGTGAATACTTACTTGCTATATTCATACTGATAGAGTACTTGTAGCCACTAACAATGCGCATGGAATATAAAAAGAACAAGAAAAAAAGAATGGTGAAAACTATTTTTTTTATTATGAATAATCAAATAGTGTATTTAATCTAATTAGTATATAGTAATTAAACAATTAATGATGTAATGTATACTTAAAAAAAAAATTAAACTATGCGGAGGACTTTTATTATCACAGTAATTTCAAACTATAATTTCAGTCACAGACTAGAAGGAAGAACTTAAACTCTTTCCTAGGAAAGTTTCTATATTAAAATGTTTCTATATTAATTGATTATTTTATATTTAAACTTAAAAACTATATCTTTTCTATAAGCTATGCTTTTTTATGTTTATAAGGCAAATGTGTTTAATTAACTGGGAACAGCATAATCTATTACCCTACATTGAAAAATGATTCCCACATTAAACTCATGGGACAACAAACCTTGTGGGCTGATGAGACCCCTTTAATCTTACCAAAAAACTGAAACATTATTATCTACAAACCTGTAAAATGACTTCTTCAGGAAAAACTATCATTTTGATGTATTCAAACTCTTCCATGCGTGTTAGGATTTCCTTCATGGGTTTGGACTGCGACTTCTTAGCCATGGCACAAACCCCCACCACCACCTGTTTGCCCTCATCAACGCAGATATCGTCATCGTGCAGTTCGCTCAGATCGCCCTGCCAAACAACCAAAACAATAATATAAAAAAAAAAAAAAAAAAAACAGGTGAAATCCTAAAGGTGAGCTGAATTTTTTCATGTCTACCAGTACGATTCTGAGATTAAACTTTAATAGATATACTTTGAATAAAATCTTATACACAGAAAACTATAAGATAACTACAAGAAAAATCTTTCCGTGAACTAACATGTTCCTAATGATTTCCAAAACTGATTAACCACAAAAACGCTAAGGAAAAATGTGACATATTCTGATTAGTAAGCTATGATCATGCAATCAAATCATCTACTCTGAAAAATTCTAATGTACAACTGCAGGCTGCAGATATAAGAGCGTGTACTCCATGTTGAGATGTCAGTTCTAAACAATCTAGTTGACCTGATGTGTATTGGGAAGTAAACAACTTTTGGACAGTGGCGGTATTGATGGTTGAACTATTAAACATCTAAAGTGTCATATGACACTTGATTTAGTTCACGACTAGATCGTGTGATTTAAATAACCTCTAGTTTTAAAAGTTTGTTTAAAGAGCATTTGTATCTGTGTGTTCATATTAGATGACACTATTTGTACCCACAGAAGTAGATCGCTATGTGTTTATATCGGTATGTAAATTATAAAATTTTTACTTCTTATTAATAGTGTTGTACGGTATGTATTATTTACCTACATATTTGTAATTATGTAAACCTATAATCATGAGATCTGTTTGAATGTATGTTGCTCTGAATTTTTTTCAAGCTGACAGTAATTTAAAACTGTACTGAAATACTTTTAGGTAAAAAAGTTATTTTATCGAAAACAGTGGAAATAATTTCAGATTTAATGTTCTAGTAGGAACTTTGGAACTGTTAATCATCACATTGTTTCTACTGAGTTTTGAAAGGTAAAGTGTAAAAAACTAATACAAAACAACAGTTCATTCATGTTTCAATCACAGTCCTTTTTTTATAGACAGAGTTTTAGATCTTCCATAGGTGAAAAGATAGTCAAGGTTGTTCAATGTTAAGTTAGTTAACACATGCGTAATTTATATAGGTAGGATCAAATATATAGTGTTAAAGTATTTTTTTTTTTTTTTTTTACTCTACTAAGTTAATTGTCAAAAAATTGCCAAAGTATTCCCAAAACAAATATGAAAATAATATCTTGTAACTTATTCCTCGAAAAAACACAAAATAAACCTTATGTCATGAAACTGAAACACTTCTGTAAACAGAATAGCAAAAATAATCAATACTTGATAGAAAGATATGTGCTTAATTACAATAATTATACAATTTTGAGTTTTTTATCTAAACAGATATATAACAGATTTATATAAACAGATGGTTCAAGTTTTCAGGTATTTGGATTGAATAAATTTTAATATTATCATAGACAAATAAAGTAAATAAAGGCTGTCTAAGGAAGGTTCCGTGATGTGCCGCTAGAATTGCCCAGTGTTCGTTAATTCTCGGCCGTTGACTCACCGTCTGCTACTAGCACTACCACCCTTGCAAACGAAACGCTACCAACATATCAGACCCACTTTTTAACATGGGTAAAGCACAAAATCATGAAATCCCGTAATTTCCGTTAAGAAAAGCACATTTTTTTTAAATCCCCGAAAATTTTTAAAACACGGAAAAATAACGGAACAATCTCCTACTCCCCGGAATCCAGGAAACTCTTCATAAGTTGGCAACCCTGGCTCCAACTAACAATTTGTCAAGGCAACGCTTGCTAGTGCTTGACCCTGCAGTGGTGTGCACCGAAATTACACGGCACTCCTCATGGTGGACGCCAGAATATATGCTAACCACAGCACTGCTGTCGGTCGATTTTGAACTCTTTTGTCTATGATATTATCAACAGGGATACAAATATGTATTTTTTTATCTACAAAACATCCAGAAAAAAGTTACCTAAAACAATTGAAAATAGACATGAAGTTATGCAACGTTGCTGAATTTCTCAAATTAATAGGAGTTATGTTAAAAAAGCCTGAACATTGGAAATTATTACAGTTACATAAAAATATTAATTAATTTGAAACAGCTGTTACTATTTATATCAGACTACTTTCATTCAAACTGTGTCATAAGACAGGTGGTGAGATTATATGGAAGATCTTCGAAGATGGATAGCTTCTATTTTAAGATTGCCACGCAAACGAATGTCAACAAAATCTTCTCTCTTTTCAGAAGTTCAAATTTATTTTTCAAACAAGCTTTGATTGCTTGATTTTTAACCTCCAAATAAATACAAAAATAGTGGTCAGAGATTTAAAAAATAATATTCAGTGTTCTTTTTGATTGGATGATCACAAAACAAACATGAAACATATATTTATAATTCGTAATAGCTCCTGCCTCAGGAGACTAAAATTATCATCTTGCAAAAGTTTATGATGAGAATTATTTATTTTTAAGTCACTTCAAGTCAATTAGCAATTAAAAAAAATAATATTTGAATGCAGTTGAGATATTCCAAGTTTATGGTATGGTACATGAAAATCATTTTAGACATTCACAACAGTTTTATGGAGCACTAACGTTGCTGTTCAAGTACCTACTGAGAGTACCCATATTTAGATGCACGACTGCGGGCGGAATCAAGAGTCTCTCTCATTATTCTAAGGTATCACAAGTACAGCACATATTGGAGAAATGAAACAATTAATTCTACCATATATGTCAAAAGAGTTAGATAACACAGTGTTGTAACACTTAGCACGACACATATACAAACAATAAGGCAATAAATTACAAACTGTTTTGGGTTACTTTGGTTTAATAATAAACTGTAAATATTATGTTCTATTTGCAATATTTTGGGCTTAACAAAGTAGGCACTAGCTTTTTTTATTTCAAATTTTGGAGCGATGCAAAATTTAGAACTCATAAATTTTTAATAACGAAAAGTTTGAATGAAAAGGTGTGGGTACAGTAGAACTGGAAATCCACATTAATATAGCATGGATGATTTGGATTCATAAATCCTGTAGCTCTCTGAGTCAGTCATAGGTTACACAACCTTAAAGAGCAGAGATACATAAAGTAATAGGCTGTACCACCGTGTTGATACTATACAGGATGTCAAAATGTTTGTTTATTAAATATATTTAAAATTATGAGTAACGTGACATATGTTTACATTACAAATTTCAAGATTCGAACTAGTTACTCTCAGTTTTTGGGACACCCTGTATCGGAAAAAAGTAATAGGCTAATAAAAAGTAATAAAAAATATTTTTACATTATTCCTTGGGGTCGATTTAGCGGGAAATTATTCTATTTCATCCTTGTACATTAAGCCGTTTTTCCGTAATCAATTAGAGAAACCTTAAGTGGGACACCCTGTATAACAGTTAGCACCATTAAATACCACAAGATACCATAAAGATCTTGTTACAGTAACTGTAGCACAAATTAAAAACATTGAATTATAAGCCAAAAGTAGAATATTCAAAGCAAATGTTACGTCAATCCATGTTTGGTTTTATGAATGGACAGAGAAGTATTTAGAGTACGGAACTAAATAGTATGACTACAGTAAAAAAATTACAATATCTGAAAAAGAATACAGGTACCGTACTGAACATGAGTTTAAGTGAAACAAAAGTTCAGATATGAATTTATGGGTACTCATACTCTATACAAAAGTATCAACTATTTAAACTACTCTTTGGTTGGTGGAGCATTTGTATTAAATTAAAAAATTTGACGATCAAACATTGGTTAAAATTTCAGGGATCAAAAGATAGTTTTATATAATATATATATATTTTTATTATATGACATTAAACAAATGTTTTGTATGAGTACTAATTTTTAAAGTGAACATTTTGTTACATGATTTCTTTCACCTATCTTCACTTCAAACAGTCCAAACCCCTAAAAAAACACCATGTTGATAGTTGTGTCCTTGGACTTTGGGGATATGATCACTTCCCCACTTAGATATCATTAGTTTTAAACACAGAAAACATTCCCGGGCAGCATCCTGTCCCCCCAGGCACTTTCCGATGGTGGCCGAAATAAAAAAAGGGCCTGAGGGCACAGCCCCCAGCAAGCCAAAGGCTAGTTTTGCTATACATCCCTTTCAAATGCATACAAATATTTGCTTAGCTAGTCAACATCTATGAAAGTATATATTTCTGTATCTTAAGTCAAAGATAAAACATCCTGCAGAACATCCGCTATATTGTTCGGTGGAATCATAAAATCCATTTTTGTAATTTTCTAACTTTGCTAATGTGAAATCTGATTTTTAAACAGGTTATTGTAACAAACACACTTATTTTACAAGTAGAAATAAAATATTCAATACAAAATAGAAAACTTGAGATAAATCAATATTGATTTGGAAGATCAATTCTTTCCTAATTTAATTCAGTGTTCTTCAACTATTTAAAGATTAATTATACTTTGAGTTATTTACTAATGGGAATTTATATAGTTTCTTCTTCATTTTCTACAGTTACTTGTCCTACTAGGGAAATATCATCCTGTTAATGTATTTATTGTTAAATAAAATGAAATAAACTTGAAGCATCGGTTGTTGAATTATACTTTTACGATTCAAATTGTACAGCGTGCATCAAATACTACTCAGAATTTGTAGGGTTATATTCAACAGGCAGTATAACATCTAGGCTGTCAATTTACTAAATGTAATATCTTCACTTCACATTAAAACAAACACTTTCCTTGCTAAGATTAATTATTCCAATACTAATTCGGTCACGGTGCTAGAAATATTGCATAGAATCAAAAGATAAGTTTTGGAAACAAACAACCTCACTTTAAAATTCGTTGACACACCATTGCCTAAATGAGATAACTCAAGTAGACTAGCTAGATATACAACAAAGCAATAGTTCAAATAAAATGGAAACCAATTATTTAAATAGTAAGTGGATAGTGTTCTAATTCATACTTAAAAGCTAAATAAAATGTTTACAACTGTATTTACCCAATAATATGAATTCCAGTACAATTCTTCAGACATG